ATTAATCGTTTGCAATTTCATATCTCTCTGTATATCGCTTTAAGTGTTCTCAGTAGAGCATTTTTTGCGGTACATGGGTGATGGTACGTATAGTGTAAAAATGTGGGGAAGGGAGCGAAAGTGGAGGCGAAGCACTGATCTCTATAATATAATCAGATTATATTATAGAGATCAGTGAGGCGAAGCCGAAGGGAAAGAATTTTGCACAGGGGAGAGATCACAGAAATAGTGATCCGCTAGAGGACGGCTCTGATTGGCTAATTTTGTCTCTTATTTATTTTATTTATTATTATATTTTGCTAATTTTGTTTTATTTTAGAATTAGGGATATGGTTAGGGTTAGGATTAGGGTTAGGGTTAACTGATTTCTATATCCACAACTTATTTCTATATTCACTATCTCTCCCCTGAAACCTACTAGGGAAAGAGGAGAGGCAATGGAGATATGGGTTGCAGGAAAGGAGAAAGGGGAAGGGAGGGAAGAAGGGAGGGAGGGAATGACAGACGCACACGTACGCTCAACCACACGAGCAATTACGCATGCACATACACAGACAAATTCAGCGATACACACAAGCACATAAGTCACAAGTGCCTATATGCACGCACGCACGCACGCACGAGTGTTAAAGACATTTAATATGTCTGTGTATGTGCCTACAAATACAATAAACGTACGTACGTGCGTGCCTGTGCATATGTGCATCCGTGCCTGTGTATGTGCGGCACATTGGTACGTGCGTTGGTATGCGCGTGTGACTGCGCGAACGTATGCGCATCTCCCGCTTCATTCCTCCTTCCCTCCTTTCTCTCCTCTTTGCTTCCTCTTCTCCTCTCACTCATTTTCTCTCAGTTTTTGGCCCCCTCTCCCAAATGGTGTCGCCTACGACCTTCTAATTCTTCGATCCATAAACAACAAGCAGGCGCGAATTCTGCGTATCACTTAGCACCGACTCACCCACCAGTATATATGGTCATACTATATTCATTAATTTTAATTACATTACTGCGGTGCGATTTATTTGACCGCATTATCATTGTTTTACAGACCCATGATGCACAGGGTGAGCTTCGTTACGTAGATATGACCAGGTATGACCAAAGTCTTTAAAACGTTGTCAGTGACATTTGGCGTTCTATGTAAGAAGACGAAGAAGGAGAGGAGGAGGAGGAGGAGGAAGAGGAAGGAGAAGAAGAGGACTAAAACGAACAAGAAAATGGAGAAGAAGGATGTGAGAAGGCAGAGGAAAAGGAGAAAAGGAACAAGAAGAAGAAAAAAAAGAGAGGAAGAGGGGGAGGAGTAGCAAGATGATGAACAAAAGTTGTGCTTCAGACAATCACTGCGTCGCTGTCAGCAAGTGAGATCAACTCAATGAATCGGCGTAACAAACACTTAAGAACGAAATAACAGCTCATCGGCTCTACAGATCAGCAGATCGGATGAAGGAGCTTGAAATGCTAGAGATATTACAACTGCAGCCTCACTATGTAAAAGATGGTGTCTCCAGAGAGGATTCCGACAGAGTGATACATTACATTATGTTATGTTCCGATACTTATGTCAAGTTGAGCTGCTCTAC